AATATTAAGCCGACCCGAGAGCTCTCTCCCGTCATCTTAGAGCACCTTCACCAGAAGCGCTACAGTGGTGCCGCTGCATCGGTGCAGTTGTGCCGCTGTAAGTGATGTTGTGTAGACATAGCCTGAGATTTCGTTCTAAGCGTGAACTAGCCCTGGTGACATACTGCATGCACCACCCCGCAGGAGGGGTAAAGGGAGAACGAGCCTGGTTTACAGCACTCCTCCAACTTGCCCACAGCCTAACCGGAGCCTGCAAGGTGAAATGCTCCGAGCTCCTGCACGTGATGGGGGAGGAGGATGCGGTCTGTAAATGGGGGTGAAGGGTCAAGAGCGCTCTCATGGGGTTTCGGACGACCACTGAGCGATGGGCTTCTCTGCCAACTAGCAGAGGTGGAACAAATCAGAGGCCCAGCACCAAAACTTTGAGAAATCAACTGTGGTTGCTTGTTTCAGCACCAGCCTCTCTCCTGGCCAAAGGCTAGAGATGGCAAGTGTGTACGAGGACAGAAATTCATGGATAACTGAAGGGAAAAAACCAGGATGATGGGGTGTGCAAGTCTTTGAACATGTCTGCTCCGTGCCAGGTCACCACCCGCAGAAACACAGGCTATGTCTACACTGCATGCTTCTTTTGGTGGTGTGTAGAGTATATACTTGGGTAGCCCCCCCCCCCCCAGCATGGTTTAAGTAGCAGTGTGGACAGGCGAGTAGAGCACAGACACACCTGAAGGGAGCGGGTATGTACCCTACACGGCTCTTTCCTCACCCAAGCCCTACCTTCCCGCCTATGCTGCTATTTTCAGCCATGTAGTGTCCCACTTCCTCCCCACTGCTGGAGACTTTCCCCTCTGCCAGACCTTTCACTGACACACGTAGCTACACCCCCAGTGTGGACGTGGCCTGCTTTTCACGGCTGCGTGTAGCTACATGTATACTTTGCGCTGCCTCAAGAGGTGTGCAGAGAAAAATGTCCCCATAACCAGTCTGACACCAGAGCAGTAACATGCCCCACTCCCCTAATCTCAAAGGTGACTTATTTCAGGGCGGAAGCGTACAGAATAAGTGCTGTTGTGTACTTCACTCCTCGCAAGCTGCTTCACCTACCTCGACATCGTCTCCGCTGGCCTTCAGCTTGAACCACTTCACCATACAGGTGCGGCCGATGTGGTCGCCTGACTGCACCACTCCATACACAGCAGGGTCCTGGGAGGTCTGAGCTTTTGGTCAGGGTGGAAGGGAGGAAAATATCCAAGTGAAAAGCTGGACCAACAGCGACTGTTCTCATCTCATCTCATTTACTGCGAGGCATTACAGCCCAGCAGCTCCGCCTGAGACAGGGAAATCAGGAGGCTGGATCTTGTTACATTGGAGCTAGGGGTTGCCAACTGTCAAATTGTGAACCCATCCTTCACCTGTGTGCAATGCCAGGATGAAAGCAACAACTGAGCTGGGGTATTTTGAGCAAGTAAGGGAAGAGTCGTAACTTTACAGGGCCATCTAGCCAGAGGGTGGGGAGAGAGATCCGTGGTGAGCACACTTGTCTGTGGGGACTTGCAGTGCCTGATCAATGGCCAATTCACCTTGATGCTCTGCTCTCTACACTATTCAATGAAGAGCCAAAGAGTCCAATTCAAGTGTGGGTACTGATGGGCCAAGAGGGCTGCCTGGGATGGGCCGTAGCTACAAGGCGTCTCTTCCTCCATGATCATGATTTCCCACAACAGCTATGTTCCACTGGAACAACGAAACGGTCAGTCAATAAGGGGAGACCTGTGTGCAGGGAACAACCTTTCACAGAAGCTGGACTTGGACTGCGTCTGCCGTCAACACCTTCCATGTAAAACTGACTGGCAATAAAACTCCTCAGTGGGCTTTATGGAGTTTGATTCCTCTCTCTTTCCAGATTATAAAGAGCTTTGCCTGCAGCGTTTTTGGGGGGGGAGGGTGATTGGCAGGGAAGGGAGGTGGAGGAGGAGGCAGGAATTCCTAGAAATGTGTCAGACAAAACTAGAACCTAGGCCTGACAATTTACTAGAAATTAATGAGATCTAGATGCTCATTTCCCCTATGCAACTTTGGACGTCTCAGCCTCCATCTCTTGCTTCCACAAGCAATGCCTAATCCACAAGGACACAGCATCTCCAGCCCGAGGAACGAGATACAATGACTAGAGCCTGCAAATCTGCAGATATCGGCTTTATAGCCACCGACCATTTTTGCAGATCGGCTGCGGATTCAAATTTAGTATCCGCGCAGGGCTCCAACAATGACTACTGGTAAAAGTGAACACAACACTCATCTCTGACACAGCTTTCCAACTATATATATTACAGACCCAACAATTAGAAACAATCCCTTGCCCCCAAACAAAAGCACTACAGTTAGAACAATTTACTCCTACCTATGGGGGAAGAGGATGAAGAGGATTAAAGTTTTTTGTTTTTTTTATTAAAAGAGCCCTGAGGCTTCTCTGCCATACTGCGCTCATCACTGTCTGGAGAATCTAGATTCGATGGAGGCCCTGAACTGCTGCTAGGGAAGAGGGAGATGCATGCAGTTGTTTCAAGCTAAGCCAAGCGCCATTCGTCCTTCACATTCACGAGCACTGAACTCCTGCAGAGAGTTGTGTCTCTTAGAACCGTTACTTAGCTCCTAAGCCTTGGGAAACTCAGAAGTGAGACGCTCCCCTACTTTTGGTGGGGTTTGATTGGTTTGTTTCTTGTGAGGAAAGGGGAAGAAAAAAGCCACTTTTAATTACAGAAAACTCTTTAGATAAATATAATAGTGTGAGAACCTTGTTGGGAAGGCCATCCAGGTAAAGCTAAACTGTGTGCGATTCATTCCTTCATCGCTCTAGTTCTGAGCAGGCAAGTAAAAAGGGTGTCCTCAGATCAAGAGCGATCCTTTAGGGTTCCCAGGGAAAGGGGAGACTGGTTGTGTGCTAACAGAAAGCTGGCAAATCCAACTCATCCCTATCTATTTCACACAGGTTCAGCCCTATATAATAAAAGTTCTTTAAAGCCTACAAACTATGTATATGTAGAGTATCAGGGGGGTAGCTGTGTTAGTCCGGATCTGTAAAAGCAGCAGAGTGTCCTGTGGCACCTTATAGATTAACAGATGTATTGGAGCATGAGCTTTCGTGGGTGAATACCCACTTCATCAGATGCACCCACGAAAGCTCATGCTCCAATACGTCTGTTAGTCTACAAGGTGCCACAGGACTCTTTGCTGTGTATATGTAGAGTTACCTGAGCCATATTTAAGTGCTTGTTTCTCACTACACATTTGCACTTAAATAGAGGGGGATGCAATAACTGATTTTATACTGTACTAGAAAACAAAAAGCAAAAGGATAGCACTGGAGTGCAAAGGATGGTCTCATGGCAAAAGTACAGGCTGGGGAGTCTGGAGATTTGGGTTCTAGTCCCACTTCTATCACTGACTCAGTGTGTGACCTTGGGCAAGTCACTTAAGCTCTGTGTCTCAGCATCCCTGTCTGCAGAACACGGACACTACTCTGCCCACCTCCCGAAGGGCTTGTGAGGCCAGACTCATTAATATCTGAAAAGCACTTTCAGAGTAGATTGAAGTCATTGGATTTTTGGGGGGTAAGTGTTATTGATTTTAACTGCTCAGGCACCTGCAACATCATATGCACATTTTAAAAATCCAAAGCAAAATAGACAATTGCAAAGCTCGCTTATGCCTTGTAACAAAAAATGATGATTTGCTTTTTCTCCCAGAACATATCTTTCACCCAGTACCTCTTTTGTCCACCACGAAGTCCCCAGGGCAAAACTCATTGTTGTCCAGATGATGGACTGGAAACAACTCGTTGGAGCGAATATTGGTCTCCACAGTGCCATCCTGCCACATCACATCAGCTGAAGTCATCGTGGTCACCACTTCTACAGCAACTCTGAATGTAAAAGACAGAGCTTAAACGGAGCTGCCACCCGCAGAGAGCAGAAGAGAATAAGCAGACCCCTCTGCCAATTGACTTGACCCATTTTGGGGGCTTGCCCCAATACAAGCAGCCACAGTTAAGTGCACAGAGCAACAGTAGGAAAATCTGGGCTGCCAAACACTCAAAGTTCAAATGGGCACCCATGTTTCACACCTGGCACCAGTAAGTCAAGAGATGGGTTTTAAGGTCAGGAACCAATACTCAGGCTGACTGGGTTCAGATATGCCTGTATGTCCATTTATGGGACAGATTTTCATTCACCACAGATCTGAAGTGATAACTTTTTCCCTTTGTAAGTCTGTATTTCAGGAAGTAAATGCCACACTCATTTCACTCTCACAGGAGCAAATTTACAGAGATACTAGAGCACATGAAGCTGCACACCAGCTGGAAGAGGGGTGAGATGGGGGACTTCAGTAGGGAAAAATCTTAGGTTCCAAAGGCTTGAAGTGCCTTCTATCTGGAGCTCTGTTGAAGTTCTGAGAAATCTTTGAAGCTGGGGCCATGGGGATGAAAAGGAAGACTAAAGCTGCATATTATATCTCAGCCCTTTGGAGACAGATTTGACACTGCCTCTTCCTTTGAAAAGCAGAAGGGTGTTCAGTTTAAAGACAACAAAAACTTTACTTCCTGGCCATTCTCACATACGATCACTTCTACTGCATAAAGACAAACCCAAGCATAGAACAATCCTGTTTTGGACATAAGGGTCTCATCTTCCTGCCCCCTCTCCATTTTAAACCTCCTAATCACACATACCCCTCCCACAGCCAATTCAGAAGCATTTGCTACAGTGCACAGTTTTCTGTACTCAAATACACCCATGGGTGCACATACTGCCATACAGAGAACCACACTGAACAGCATTCCTGATTGGGATCAGGTTAGCAAAATCTATGGAGCAACGGTGCCAAGCTACTTTTGCTAGAGGCTATACTCAGACCTTTAATAAAATATTAAATTAGTGACCAAGCTACTGGACATTTATGTTTAATAGTCCCTAACGGAAACCTTTGCTGAAGAAGAATTAAGAATGAAAACAAGTTCCAATAGGATCCACTGAACATCCCCAGAAGTTACACTTCACAAAAATTCTACAGGTTAATCCTCTCCTGGCAAATATTAGTGAGAGCCTGAAAATGAACGGGTAAGGGATCCAGCCAAGTCCCCATTGCCCTAGAATCATTCAATCACCCCATCAATCATCCCCTTAACTCTGCCCCCATTTTGTTCGGTAATGGCAATATGCTACTGGATGCATACTGTTGAGAAGATTAGCTTTATTCATCCTTAACGTACAAAATCTCTTGCAAGTAGTATAGAAGGATGGGCAGTTTCCCAGTTCCTCCTTGCTTCTGGACCCCATGGCTGGGCAAGCACCTCTTCTTCCCCCTCAGCGGAAGCAGTACAGCACCTCTTTATAGCACTATTCCAGCAAACCCTTAGTTAACCCCCATCCATGCCTCCCACAGTGCAGGGTACACTCAACCACATGCTTTTTTTCAGATACATCTTTACGGCTTTTGAACATCTCTCCTTATTAAAGCCAATAAAAGTATGGAGATATTGGAAGCTGTAATGGGCAAATAAATAAATACAATAGGATTTCCTTTTTTAGAGAGTCAACAGCAGAACATCTCAGAAAAATTCTACCATGGCATATGTGGCATGTGACATTTCAGGGGGACTTGTTTCTTTATGGGGAAGTTGGAGGGTCAGTGTTGAAAGGAAGGTTCATAATGGGAAGAGAGTTTAAACCTTTTTAAAGGAGTTAATCGCTGTTTGAAATGAAAGGAGGTGGCAATAGAATCCCTTAGTGGCACCCACAAAAGCTTCAGATGCTGCCCCGATAAAGCCATACCCATTTAAAAAACTAAGCGAACGTTACAGGCTGTATTGCTTTCATGCAGTTAGAGGCACCCATGTGGCTGACCATCAGATCTGGTACTCCAGCTGCATCGAGCCAATGCAACATGTATGTTCCATTCACTTCACCCTTTCCGACAGCATTTCAGCTGTTGTGCCTACAAAGTCTCATCAGCTTTCTGTCTGGTTATTCAAGCAGTAGTGAGACACCCAGGGCATTTCATGGTGGTTAATGACCCAGCTGCCATATAACCCCTTTAAGGGCCATCTAGGGTTTTACACTCTCCTTACAGCAATGTCATATCTTCAAAGAGCCCCAGGGACTATGTTCTATATGTTTGCCTTGCAATGGAGCCATCTGTCCACTGCCTTCTTCATGTCAGCTGCAATCAGCTATCAAAGCTGCCCATCTGGGACCCCCTTCAACTGCACTAGAAAGATAGAAGTTGTGCGTGTGTGTGTGAGGGAAATAGAGGCTACATACTTACTGATGCTATTTCCAGAAAATCCTACTCCTTTCTGGTGCCTTTCATCTTGCCCACTTTAACACTGCTCCCCTGAGCTCCAATGCTTTGGAACGCTTCTCCCAGGCTTTGGGAAAGTATTCCAGAGCGACAATGCTCCACTTATATTGAAGCAAATGGAGATAATTGAATGAACAGTGACTGAAGTATATTGTTTCCCACATTACTTCTGTGCTACCGGATCTCCCTCATCCTCACAGCTCACTTACTCCTCTCTGAGGAGATTCTCATCCAAGTATCTACATTTACTGCCAAAAAGGGGTGTTTGAAGCATGGATTATGTTAACTCCCTGGATGCCGACAGACTTATTTCCCCAGTGCTCTTGTGCTGCGGTTTTTAAAATTCTGTACAGACGGTCCCCGACTTACGCAAGCGTTCCATTCCGGAATGCCTTGCGTAAGTCGAATTTTGTGCAAGTCGGGAATGTATACCCAACAATTATGGAAAAAAAAAAAAGCTTACAGAACTTATGGAATTTTTCCCGTAAGTGCGGAGTTGCGCAAGTCGGGTTTGTGTAACCCGGGGAGCGTCTGTATATGAATCTGGTCCTAGTGAAAGATGCTAATTCACAGTCCTGAGACTGCAGGACAGGTATAGTACGGGCCATGAAAAGGCAGACTCCTCCACAGGCCCTGACAATGTCCCTCAGTGCTGTTCTGGAGGGATTATTTAAAGGTGACTGGACAGAGTTCAGTCTCCATCTCCATCCCTCCTTGGCCTCTTTGCTGAACTGCCAACAAGGGCATCGTTTAATGTTGTATTTAGACGAAGCTCTTTGGAGCAATATCACCTCTTCCTCTCTGTATGCACAGGGGACTACGCTTAGTAGAGGCCTCTAGGCACTACTGGAATATGACAGTATTGATTTTATGTGATGTGGACACCTTTCCATCCGCAGGTAGACTGAAACCAAACACATTTCACAATGGGCACTGGACAGCCATCAGAAGGTAACAACTGTTTGTTAGTCCCAAGCCGTGCTCTCACACGACGTGAAAAAGACACTCAGCCGGAGCTCCATGCTTACCCGAACTTGTGTGTGCATTTGAGAATTCAGAGAAGGGAAGCTTTAGCAAGGTGATTGACTGGGGATAGAAATCTGAACCTACCTGTCTCCTGGTTTAAACTCCCTGGAGATCTTAGTCTTCTTCTTCTTATGCTTCCGCTTCAAGTTTTTGATAGAGAGGGGAATGCTCTTCTTGCGCCCTATGCCGCTGCCACTCTGGGAAGAGGCAGTGGAGCTCGCCGAAGAGGTCACAGAGCTGGTGTCATCTGTGTCGTCGGCTGCCTCATCATCAGCATCTTGTTCCATTGACTGGAGCCTGTAGTCAGGTGACCCATCATCTTTCAACAGGAAAGGTGGCTGCTGTTGTCGCCCAGCTGCTGTGCAAGAAGTCTCCTTTCCCATTTCTTCAGGCTGCTCCTCCTTTATCTCCCCCAGGTTTAGTGTGCCATTGGCAGAGTCCCCTAGTTCACAGTTGGATCTGGTTTTAAGTTCTTCCGATTTTTGGTCAGCAGCTGCAGTAGACTCTCCATCGGGCGATTCATTGGTACCCTGAGAATCTGGGGTGCATGACATGATCTTCACAATCTGTTTTTTCAGCAATCTCCTCACCTAGAGAGAGCAATGCTGGCCAATAAATAAACTGGAGTCTGGGTGCCTGTGCACACAGCAAACATGTTACACAGCCAACAGGAGGGACTATGTACAGACTACAATGTGACCCTCTTTGGCCCTTTTCACACTCCATCTATCTCAGAGCATTTTACAAAGCAATGAGCTATTGCTAATGGAGTTACCGTACTAGCACAGGCAGCTGCCTGGGAGAATATAAATAGTTTTACGAAGAGCAGGGGATGTTGGCTAGGGCACTGGGTATTTACATGACTATGCAAGAGTCCAGGTGCAAAATCCAGTTCCGATGGCTCTTTAATAAAACTATATTAGTTTATATTGGAGCTTGCATAATAAAAGGCACTAAGAAACTTTACAAAATTAACTAAATGGAACGTACAAAGCTACACAGGCGGCTCCTCTCCTTGCCACTGAAATGCAGCTACCCTTGGATGGTACATGGCACTTAGTTGTTGGTCAACACAAGACAGTTCAGCACAGGAAATGAATGCTTTCCCCAATGTGTTGCTGTACTGGAGATTTAAGTGACCAGAGTAAGATTCTGCTAGGAAACCAAGTTTAACATCCCTAAAGTTATGCAAAAAAGGTTCTTTAATGGCCCAAGTGGTCAGGACTTCAATATTATGCCGAAAAGATAGCACCTCTAACACCACAGTTGCCTGCTGGCACTTTGCTATGGCACTGGCTTTGTAGTGCTGCAGAGAAAAGAATGCCACCAACTGTACGGCTAACCCCACTTCCTGCACCATGTAGGTGTTCCTAGAGGGCCTCATCCAAGTAACTGATCCGGCCCAAACCTGCTCAGCTCTGTGCGAGAGGATCCTTGCACAAGGTGACATGACTGTAAGCACTACCGAGCCGTTACACTTTACTGGGTCACATTTCCTATACCATGTGACTTTTATGGGAAGATTTAGGTTTTAAAAGGAGCATTTAAAATCCAGGCTACATGAATCCCAACCACGCAAGCAGATGTGTTTGAAATACAAGTCGTCCATGTGCCCGCCTCTCACACTGCCAGCTAAGCTAGCTCATCACTTTCCTGGGAACACACCTTCTTGGCGACTGATCCTTCCCCCAGAACACAGTTTCTCTCTGGACATTCACAAGTGATTTTTGCAGGTTCCACTTTGGCAGGAAATACGTAGAGGCATCTTTCCCCGAGCTGCCTCTGTGCATGGTCGAAGCACCCCAGACGCTTTACTCTGTTAAGAGTGAGAAGATGAAAACCGTCACCTCCCCAGTCAGCCTCAGAGCAAGAGATAATGAACACCCTAGCGATGAGTAGTACCTCCACATGGGTAGCGGGTGCATCAGCATATGCACACCAGTCCTGTACATGCTGACGTATGCGCGGTCCATGTGGGTGGCACTAATTAAAATGGGAACAATTTTGCATTACAACTAACGTTTCCCAGGAGACTAGAGTTCTTTAGTCTCTCTCATACACACCCAGAGATGTAAGGGAAGAGCTATAGGGTATTTCCAGGCTACCTGGGAACTGGGAGGAGAAGAGAGTAGCCACCTCCTCCACATACAAGGGCTAGTTACTCTTGTCAACTTCCCAGAGAGAATTAAAAATAGGCGTTAATAGTTGGTATTTGCTTTTTCTTTCCGTAGGCTGAGAACTCCTGCTCCTGAAGCTACCTTCAGATGGGACTGCACTGCTCTGTTCTCCTACAGAGTTACAAAACTCACCTACCCTCTTTCCTCACTTCAATGGAGTACCGTATGGCCAACACAAATACCCTATGGCCTGCAGGGGGCATCAGATGCTCCTCAACACTGGCACGGCTCCTTGGCTGGCCAAGCAATGTTAGCTGCATTCCCTTCCCATTTCTGAAATAGAGTTTGGAGCTGTAGGATTCAAAGGTTCAGTCCACTGCAGCTAAATGACGGACAGAAGGGGAAGAGGAAGTTGGCTGCATTCTCCCTGCTGTTCAGCTGGGGAGCACTTCTATTGGAGGAGAGCTTGTGATGCCAGTCCTTCTGCCATTCAACTAAAAACCTGCACTAGCCAGTCAGATGATGCTCCCCTGCTGCTGGGAGACAGGAAATGGCTGGAGTAAAACTCCCTATGTAGGGTGCTGATGACAAAGTTGGATTTCTTATGTCTATCTGCTGGGAGAAGGGCAGGTTACCCACTGATTGCCCTGGCATCTTAGGATGGTGGGGAACACGGGTACTTTAAGCAGATCTCACCTGGACAAGTTCTCCTGCGTGATTACCGAAGGTGGGGGACTTACACTGTCAGTACCTCCAGGACAGAAACTTTTAGTGATCCAAGTAACCTTTAGTTCCACCACTTGTACCTGAAAAATGAAGCAGAGAGGAAGGGGAAGGAGAATGTCATTTTTTCCAGGAACTTTACTGAATCAGATTCCAAAGCCTATGGATTTTCAACACGGAAAATGATTTTCGCTTCTAGATGGCTGGACCTAGCCCCTGGATTTTTAAGAAAAACAGCCGTGGGCGGCTTCTAATTGTGCTTCCGCACTGAGTAAGAGTTAATTGCATTCATCATGTTCCTGTAGTGCTCAAAATACAACAACTAATGTCTCAGGGGGTTCCAGTTCTTCCAGGAAGATTGTCCCCGTTCCCACAGTAAGTAGCCATGTGTCTGCTCACTAACCTCTTCCACCACCACTCTGAACTTGCTCTTTGTGCTCAGGACGGGCTTCACACCTGAAAGCCACTGCACACTGGAGAAGACTTTTGAGGGACCAATGAGGACTTGCCCAGGATAAAAGCCATACGAGTCATCAAAGAAAAGGCCCTGAAAGAAAAAGGCAGCATAAGGGAACTGTGTCAGAGAGCAGCTGATGCCTGAAAACATTCTGTTGTGATGACATGGGATTTCTGCATTTCTCTTCCCTCGTTCTTGATCACTAAGGATATCTGTAAGCGAAGAGCCCTGTTTGCAAGTCCCCTTGCTTCTATGCATCATTCCTTTGCTGAAGTCATCACATCAGTTTCTATAGCAACACAGTGACTATCACACATACACAAACAAGGGATTTCAATTTAGTGGGGAAGAGGCAGAGGTACTCGCAAAAAACAATTATCTTGATTTCATGCAAATGTTCTTAGTAACAAACAGTGTGGTCTAAGCACTGGGGTAGGCAACAGGAACCCCAGATTTCTTACACCTGCTCTCACAGGGACATTAGTGGCTTCTGGCAAATCACTGAACTTCTCTTTCTCTGCTTCCCCTGTTGCAAAATGGGAGTAATATTGCACATGTACCTGAAGGCCCAGTTAGGTGGATTTACTTAATATTCATAGTTTTTTTGTAAATAAAGCGCTAGGAACTAGCCATTTACCTTATGGGACAATCTTTGTTCATGACAATTGGGGTGACGCCAAGCATGGCTCAGGGGTTTTAGATAGCAATCTGATTCATGTGATCGAATTTTGTACTGATCATTTAAAATATTGTAACTTGTCAAGGGTAGGTAAGATTAGTGCTGTAGGATATAAATCATAAGTGCCAAGAATACGTATAGGAGTATTGAGCACTAACTTAACGGTAGTGAGAAAGAACAAAAGGAGAGACGTTTTCAAAAGTGACTTGTGATTCTGGGTGCCTCAGCTGGATGCACCTTGAACTTCAGAGGCCTAATTCTGAGGAAGTACAAAAAGCCATGCTCTGGAAATCCTGCTCCTTTAAGGGCATCTCACATTGGGCACCCAAAATTACCAGTCACTGCTGAAAAATGTAGGCCATGATATAGTAAAGAGGCTGAACTTGTTCTGCATTCAGAAGCAATTTACACTTTGGGCTCAGATGATTGAGATATTGGATAGCAATTAGATTGAGACTCTCCTCAGTCCGTGGACGATGAAGTCCCTTAGGAAAAGATACCACATTAAACGGACACACCACTTGGTCTTTAGCAGAGACATCACATTCTTTAAGCAATCTGCTGGCAGGTCACTAGGATTTTGCCTAACTCTAGGATGCTGGCAGAATTTCCACAGGATGAGGCCAACTGTATCAACAAAATAAAGAACCTTTACACTGTAGGCAATTCCTACAGCCATATCCATCAATAAAGAAACTTTAGAACAGTATCCAGTAACGTCTTGCTGACAGGGTCTAAGAGGAAAAGCAAATTACTGCACAGCTTCTGAAGGTTTAAATCTATCACAAAGTGGATTTTGTGGTCTCTGTCTGATTACTAGTAGACAACTCTCCAGAGTGCACAGTCTGGGACAACTCAGCAAGAACAGCAGTGTCCACTAAAATAGCAAAAAAAGTGATGCAGGTCAGGATTAGAGAGGGATACCATCCATTTCATTGTAAAAAATTAATTTAGAAACATTCTGGTTTCTGACAGAGCACCCTTAAAATGGCATGCTTTTTTGTTATTCCATCAAACATTTTTAGAAGGGTTCTTCCATCCTCTGTTTATTGTCAATTAGGGTCTTTTCAAGCAGGGTGACTATAATGAGGATCAGCGAAACCAACTGTACTTTGTGTAAGACACTTGAAAAGGTACTTTGTCCACTAGCTTCTTTCAGTTAGTGATCTCTCATGCTACGTGTAACACTAACAAGTTCAACTACTACCAGACGGTAGTGTGCTTTTAAATTGATGTCCTGCTAAAGTGCTCCCTCCATGTGGGGGGGAGGGGGAAAATCTAGCAAAACATTTTCAGCAACTTGGTATTTAAATTGTACGGCTAATACAAGTTATTGAGGCAAAGCCACATTTTCTTCCTGCAGAAACTTATATTAAAAAAAGACCAGTTCTGGGCTGATTCTAAAAAAAATTCTCCAGAGGACCAGAAACTTACTGAGTCACTGACATGAGGGCAGACATCATAGAGCTTTGCTCCATCTTCTGTGCTCATAGAACACCTGGAAAAACAAAGACAAGAGTTGGGAGACAGACCGTGCAATGGTGAGGTCAGCCACCTCAACAGCACCACCTACATCTACCATCTGGGCATCTCTGCCATTGCAGGGGCCTCAGGCATTAGTGGCATCTTGGTTTCTCCCATCCTCTGCCTGTGGGACACAGTTTAGAATGTTTAACTCAAGTTTTTGAGTTTAACATAAGGGTATCTGGGTGAAAATTAATGACTTGTGTTATATAGAACGTCAGACTAGATTATCTAAAGGTCCCTTTCTGGATTTAACCTCTATGAAACACCTGTGTGCGTTTGCAGCACACTGCTGGTCCTTTCCAGGGTAAAGTGAGTCCCCTGGTTTTAGATGAGAGCTGGGTAAACACTACTCCACTTTAAAAAGCATAACTGAGCACATGAAATCTATGAGGGAAGTGGGCTGTTGGGTGGAAGTCTTTTGCCTACTAGGAACCTGAACACTCATAACTCACAGCTGTTTCAGAGCAGTGCTGGAACCCAAGCTCTGGAAAGCTAATGAACGGTTTTGGGCATATCTCTTTTCTGAAATGAGACCTAAGGTGGGATTTCCAATAATTTGCTGATGTGAAGACTATGAAAAAGATGGCGCTTTTTACAGATTACATAAGCTGTAACATCTCCAGAATGATTTGCTTTTCCTCTGAAAAAGAGGCTCAAAATTAGTGCTGTGGGGTTCCTTATTTATTGTCTCTCAAAGACTCAATGTCAAAATGTGCTTAGTTTAAAAGAGTTTTTCTAACTACAAGCTCCGCAAACCTTTCCTGGACTATGTTCTGGATCATAATATTGTCAGGGATTAGCTTTGCTTCGTCTAAGGGATAACAGAGCTGCCAACTATCCGATATATACTTTTACACCCCTTCTTGCCCAAAATGTGTTCTCACCTGTGGTTAAAATAATGTGAGCACAAGACCTGCTGTCACCAGAATAATAGCTGCACGAGTGAGATGCCACACATGCTTATAATACTTTTAAAAGAGACTATGGTTACCACACCCAAAGGTAAAGGGGATGTTCTGTTTCAGAAAAAAGTACCTGGCTCCATTGGAGAGCTTCAGGATGACTTGGTTCTTTAAGTCATAGACTTTCCCTAGCCAACAGTCAAAGGCTATGTAGTCGCCGTACATAAATGGCTACGGAAAAAAACAAAAACTGTAAAATGCAACCTAATTCCTTGAACTATCATGTAAACAACACACAATGCAGAATGCCCAGCGATCTCTTCTGCTCAAAACGGCCCAGGACTGAAACAGCAGGGCTGCTGCAGGTTGGAATTGAGATCTACTGTAGAAGTGCATGCTTTGCATGCAAAAAGTGGCCCGATCGACACCTGCGTTCTCTAGGTAATGGAAACAGCTTGGTCTCTTTCTTGACTTTTTCTTAGACCGTAAACAGCAGAGAAAAAACGGTCTTACTTTAATGTGCAAAGCAATTTACAGATATTTATAAGGTGGACTGGCCAGAGCTGTGCAAAGGAAACCTTGTGTAGCATCTGCATACATTGGTAAAGCAGTGCAGAGTATGATCAGTTTCACCTTCGTGGGCATGTTATTCCAACCAGAGAAGAGATGCTCATGTCCTTCTGCAGGAAAACCTCCCTCTAGCTGCCACCCACAAAAGCATATCTCTGCAGAAGGGTTGCAACATTCCTCATCACTTTAGAAAGGCTTCACATTCCAGCCGTTTATGTAGGGGTGGGGGAAAGGAGGGAAAGATGCTTGTTTCAAGTCTATTTTCTCAACTCAATGAAGGAAACGAACAGGGAAAATCTTCGCCTTCAATTTATCGTCTTGCAGTCACCCACCCACTCAAAACCTGGTCTGCAGCGAAAACCAGGTATGACAGTCTCCTTCAGCTGGACCCAAAAAAAAAAATAAAATAATAATAATAATTTGCTCTTTTAAACATTTCTGTAACCTGTTGATATAGTAACTATGTGTTGCAGCTCAGGACTGTACCGTTGTCATGGGACTGCCAGGGTCAGTCACATCAGATAATCACAACGCAGAAGCGTCTCAGACCATTCAATACTGACAGTCTTCTCAGTCTAACGGGATCTAACAGTACGATCAGAAACACAAGAGGGAAGGGGTTGTATGCTACACCTTCCTCCAGCAATAAGGACATTTCTGGTAGATTTAGAATAAAGCCAAGTCACAGGTGGACAACAAAACACCGAAGTGTCCATCTTGCGAGAGGCACTGCTTGCCTGGGGTACACCACCACCCCTGCAAGGTACCAACCCCTAGCTCCCCTGGGAGGAGAGGGGAAGGATTGTGGCTGCATTCTCACCCAGATATGCTGTAGGTCTTTGCTGTTGACAGGATAGAGGATACAGTTGGTTCCAACCAGCTTCACAGCACACTCTATGTTTACATCGATTACAGTCCCGCACTGGCTGTCCTGAAAATGCAAAGAGAGAGGGAGTGGGAGGAAAGGGTCGGTAACCAGGGAAAAGTCTCAAGTTGTATGTCAGCTGCATGCAGGTGAAAGGTGCAGAACTGACAGCCCTGGAGGGTGAAACCCTGTATTTATCCTCCGAGCAGACAGCACTGGCAGAAGCAGTGCAAGTTTCCCACAATAACCCTGTTCTGGAGCGATCACTGCACAGAGATTTAAAGCAGTCTGAAGTCAAGGATTGGGTGCGGCGGG